AAATTAAGCAAAATTTTCAAATTAGATAAAATTTTGCCCGCTAATAACACATATAGCACAATAGTCCTCTGAACAAAGCCTGTCAATGGCTTCGGAGTTTTTCTTAAGGTCAGGGTTTCTTTTTTTCTCTCAAGGTGAGAGCAGTGGAGGCTTTGATCAAGGATGGAGATTCTATAAACCGAATTTGAATTTGGCCAATGACAGAGGGGAGTGCTTATAAGCAAATATAAGATACTGATTAATTTAAAATTGAATTATGTTATAATTCATAAAAAAAAAATATTTTTTTAATATTTATTTTTTTATTTATAAAATTCAAATGCAAAACTTTAAGAAAAACTGAGTTTATTCCATTTAATTAACATGTTGTTGATTAACCTATCATAATTTTTCTATAGAAAAACATGAGTTTCAATGGGCTGACAATTGTATCTTGAGGAAAGATAGGAAGATAATTAGTTAACATAGAGCAAATTTTTTAATTTAGTTTGAGTATAGGTTTTTTTTTTATTTTTTTGGGTTAAAAAATATTTGAGATATGATTTACCTCAAATTACTAGTTAGATTGATTTAAAATTTTAAAATAGTAATTTTTATGGGACTTAATAAAAATTTAGAAGTAATTATTTATAGTTTGCATGTTCCTCGACAACATTTTGATATTTATAAAATGGACCTTGATTGGTGCACACTCAGATTAAACACTCGAGTGTACATCCCCACATAAAAAGAAAAAAATTTGGACTTGGTGGTTATGGGCTTTTTTTTTTTTTTCAAAGGGAAACGTGCACATCTAGGTGTGCACAAATTATTTTCTTTATAAAATTTGAATGAATTTTTTTATTTAACTAAAAAAATTTTTAAATAATGAAAAAAGTGTTTTTTATTTTATTTTATATTAATTTTTTTTTATTTTAAACTAATCAAATAAAAAAGAAAAAGAAAAAGCAATAGTAGAAAAATGATTGCTTCCTTCTCCCTCCCATCATATCATTCCCATTTTCTTCGAAACCAAACAGCGGTTTATGCAAACCAGACCGTTTAGCTTAATAGTTGATTTGCAACTTTATTGTTTGGCTTTAATTAATCAACAATTTGATTTGTCACCAATAACTTAAAAAAAAATCCCTCGCTCTTAAAAAGTTCTCCATACTAAAAAAAGAAAGAAAGGCGGTTTATGCTATAGTACAATCGTCGAGCAAGTCAATTGGATTGGACTGTCCGTGGATTTGATTGGACCACGATTTGTGGATCGGATCAGGGATTGTATTGGGCTAGCTCGAAGATTCGTGGCGATTTT